TCCTGATGCCTGTCACGTCGCAGCGTGCGGGCCCTGGCCGTGGCTAACAGCTCGGGGTGCCTCCTGCAGTGCAGATGCCGTCCTGGCTTCCGCCTGAAGGACGACGGGAAGACGTGCATCGACATCGACGAGTGCTCCACCACCTACCCCTGCAGCCAGAAGTGCATCAACACTCTGGGGAGCTACAAGTGCCTGTGCATAGAGGGCTACAAGCTCAGACCTGACAACCCCACCAGCTGTAAAGCTGTCACAGGTGAGGGCCGGGAGCAGGCCGGTTTTTTTCACGGGATGCTGCTGGCGCTGGAGTCGGTCACGGTGCTCTGCAAGGTGAAGCTGCACCTACCTCTTGGAGGAGAGCTGGGGAGCAGTGGGGCAGGGAGGGAGACAGAGGATCTGCCCACATCCCAGTGGCGCTTCCCTGACGCTTTTCGTGGTTTCCCTGTGCAGATGAAGAGCCCTTCCTCATCTTCGCCAACCGATACTACCTGAGGAAGCTCAACCTTGATGGCTCCAACTACACACTGCTCAAGCAGGTACTGGGGAGCAAAGGGGGCACCAGCCCCACGAGGCAGGGGGTTTGGGACTGGAGAGGAGTCCTGTGGGGCATGAGACCTGCCAGGCTGGGCATTCGGGTGCTTGGCTTCCCGAGCAGATGGTAGATCCTGTGTAAGGAGCAGCTCTTGCTGTGAGCGTGCAGGAGATCCCGTGTAACCAGCAGCTCTCCAGTAGCAGGCCCAGGCAGGGGCTGCACCACATGTGGCTTTAGGAGTGATTTAATGTCAGGACCAGGAGCTGAGGCTGGGGGCTCATTGGTAAAGCCCCCCCGTGACCCTGTGCTCGCCGGCGAGGCTGTTTCAGCACTTCCCCCTTTCTGCAGGGGCTGAACAACGCAGTTGCTCTGGATTTCGACTACCGGGAGCAGATGATCTACTGGACAGACGTCACCACGCAGGGCAGCATGATCCGCCGCATGCACATCAACGGCAGCAACGTTCAGGTGGGGCCTGAGGCGGCCCCTCGGCCACCCCTGGCCCCCGTGGCTGGTCCTCACCCACCCCCGGCACAGAGGCCGCCTGGAGGGGCCCCAGCCCTGCTGTGGGTGTTTTGCAGCACCGCCCCGGTCGGAGGTGGGATCCACACAGCCCCAGAGCAGTGGGCGGGGAGGAGAGGAGTGAGGGAAGGGAGCTGGACAAGGGCAGCGTGGTGGGGAAGGGGGATTTTGTCTTCCCTGAGGGACCAGGGCAGGGTCTCCGGTTCTCCCCGTCCAGTCCCAGCATCTCTGTTTTCTCCCAGCAGGTTCTTCACCGCACTGGCCTCAGCAACCCTGACGGGCTGGCTGTGGACTGGGTGGGAGGCAACCTGTACTGGTGTGACAAAGGCCGGGACACCATCGAAGTGTCCAAGCTCAACGGAGCTTATCGCACCGTGCTGGTCAACTCGGGCCTGCGGGAGCCCCGGGCACTGGTGGTGGACGTGCAGAACGGGTGAGAGCCCAGGGGACCTGCCCCTCTGCACAGGGGGAAGGCTGGTGGCCCCTCTGCCATCCTGCCGTGGTCCTGGAGGCTGGGAGGAGGCTGGCAGATGGGACGAGGCCATCTCCCCTC